GCACAAACTGCATATGATTTCCTCTTTATTCATGATAACTCCTATCCTAGCTAGATTGTCTTTTGTAGGTAATCTGTCATACAAGGATCTCTAAGCCAACGCTGCAACTCTTAAGGGCACTGATCCATTCCAGATCTACTTAAAGTGATCTATATCCTACCTTAATCGTGACTAGGTGATTTGGTTATAAGCAACTTTAGTTGAGTATCTTCCAGTGCTCTCCCCCCAACAGTCCTCTCGTCCTCGTTGCAAATGTACTTGACTTAGGATTTCTTCCAATTACTACAAAAGATTAGATTCCCAAACGAATAAGGTCCTACACCATTCCCACCCCCATTTTCCTTCACCTTCCCCACTCCTGCCTACCTCAGCTATTATGGCTTGTTTATTAGCAGCTAAGGGAATCTTGGAAACTTCTCCCTCAAGCTCACATTTCCTATCCACACCTCTTCCCAAAACAATGTCTCCTTGCCTTCCCTTACCTTTCTTATAAACCCATCCTTTAACCATTCCGTATTTATGCTATCTCCCTCTCCAATTTCCATAACTCTTTCCACCACACAAACCCTTTCTCATTTTGTATACACCCTTCCCATCCCTTTTTCCTAATAGACCCATATAACTTGAATATAACTTTTCTCCATAATGCTTCTTTCTCCCTCAAAATTCTCCACTTCCACTTACCTAATAAGGCTCTATTGAAGCTCTCAAGATTCCTAATACCTAGCCCTCCCTCTGAATTTTTCCTACATATCACCTCCCATTTTATCCATGCTATCTTTCTATCACCCTTACCCCCACCCCACAAAAAATTACGTTGAAGCTTGGTGAGTATTTTAATTACCTTGTTTGGGGCTTTATATATTGAGAAGAAATACACAGGTAAGTAGGATAGAACAGCATTGAGAAAGACAATTCTCCCACCAAACGATAATGTATTTCCCCTCTAACTGTCCAGCCTCCTCCTTATACAATCAATCACTGGGCACCAAGTAGTGATTCTGTTAGGATTTGCTCCAATAGGTACTCCCAAATATTTAAAAGGAATGCTCCCCATCAAACAATTCATAGTCGATGCCAACTCCTTAATTGTATTCTTGTCAACATTTAAGCCATATAGCCAACTTTTATCATAGTTCACCTTGAGGCCAGAAATCAACTCGAAACACCTCATTATACATTTCATGGCCCATGCATTTTCATCTGTTGCTTCACTGAATAGGATGGTATCATCCGCAAATTGTAAATGAGATATGGCCAGCTCTCCATGACCTACCCCGAATTGCTTTTAAAATCCCAAGCTCCTCAACTTTTGTCATTAGACCACTTAAAGCCTCCGCTATAATCAAAAATAAAAATGGTGAAAAAGGGTCACCTTGCCTCAATCCTCTTCCCACTTTAAATTCTTCTATTGGGCTACCATTAATGAGCACTAAAACTGTTGCTGTTGACAAACATTCTTTTATCTAGCCTCTCCATCATGAGCAGAATCCCATTTTGTCCAGCATAAAGTCTAGGAATCCCCAATCCACATTATCGTATGCCTTTTCAAAATCAACCTTGAAGATTAGTCCTGTCTTATTTCTCCTTTTCATATCATGTATCACTTCATTTAAAATAATAATGCCATCAGTTATTTGCCTAGTCCCCACAAATGTTGACTGGTTTTCAGTGATTATGCTATTCATCACTTTCCGCAATATATTTGCCAAAAGCTTTGAAATGATTTTATACATGCACCCAATCAAAGAAATAGGGTGATAATCATTCATACCTTGCAGATTTGACTTCTTGGGAATGAATACAATGAAAAAAGCATTATAGCCTCTAACCAGCTTCCCATTGTGATGAAATTCTCTAATGAAACCACATATATCCTCTTCCAATAAACTCCACATTCGTTTGATGAAATTAAAATGAAAACTGTCTAGGCCAGGACTTTTACCACCTCCGCAACTCCACGCTGCGTCTTTTATTTCCTCTATTGAAAATTCTGCCATAAGCATAGCATTATCCCCATCACTCACCTTCTTGAATTCAATACCTTCCACTACCGATCTACCCCAACTGTCTTCTTTAAATTTTGCTGAAAAAACTCGTTTACAGCTCCCTTAACCTCTTGAACTCCATCAACCCATCTACCATTCTAGATAATTCCAACCAAGCTATTCTGATCTCTCCTTCTAACCATACAAGAATGGAAATGCCTACTATTTGAATCACCCTTCTTTAGCCATTTATGTCTTGCTTTTTGATGTAACAAGTTATTTCTTATATCCGCCCATTCTTGTAATTATTTAAAGCTATCTACCCTTTTGTTCTTTTCTTCTTCATTAATACTCCCCAACTCATTCTTCT